GTCTGTTTTTGCCAAGGATGGATTTTAACTGAATTCGTTGATCTCCTTTTACACGGCTAATAGAGGGGAGGATGTGTTTTACTTTATGTGTGACCCACGTCGCCTAGCGTTTTTCTTCCCATCCTGTTCCGTAGTGTTTCTCCGCCCTGGCTTTCCCCGGTGTTACTGCTGTTGATGATGAGTGCGATACAGCTGACACGCAGCGTCGTGGAGGTGTGCGGTGTGCGGTGTGCAGTTGCTGTTAACGCGTGGCTTTTATTGTCAGTGAGCATCCTGTCCTGTGTAGGACCGCCGTCTCCCTGTTGCTGCCCTGCACGTTCCCTCACTCATCCTCGTCTGCTTGGATGCGGACCACCCTTTGCTTCTTGCACCGTGTGTTTTCGCCGGACCGACCACTGCCTTGCCCTTTGCTAGGGCTCTCCGTGACTGACCGGCCCAGACTCGGTCAGTGCCCTCCTCTCTGCCCACATTCTGTCATCAAATGCTTACGGATGGCGTGGTCTTCCAAGTTCATGTCTCCAGCCCCAGACTTGCCAGTCGTGAGCACCAGACCCATGCCTCGGTGTCTCCCTGATACCGTCACGCTGACTTCTGAACAGGAGAATCCACTTGATTGCTGCCAAAGTGTCATGTTGGAATCCCTCCTTACCCCACAAACCACCCCCCCCCAAAAAAAACCCTGGAAAACCATAGTTTTCCTTGTCCAGGGATGTTTATCTCATCCAAGCCAGAGACGTGAGTGCATTGTTGGCTCTTCTGTCTTGCTTACGCTTCCCATCCCTGTGGCTGACCCACCGCTACAGCCTAGCCTGCCGTCCCTCCTCCCCCGGGCCGAGCCGGGCTCACGCTTTGCGCTGCTGTGCGCCCCCTGCTCTGTGCGCGGCTGCCTCCTCAGAATTCCTGCCTCTCCGTCCCATTCCAGTGGGGACCCCTGGTCACTCTCTCTCTAGCACATCACAGGTTTCTTTTCTTCACAGAACTCGTTTATTCACATAGAGCATCTGCTTTATTTGTTCATTTCTCTTTGTTCCTTGGAAACCGCGTGGCTGTGGCAGCAGGGATCTTGCCTTTTGGCTTCCCGTCGTACCCTCACTATTCAGAGCAGTGATGTGCAGCAGTTGTTCAGTAGAACAGTTTGTACTTGTGTGCAATGCTTATTCCTATTTATGTACATTTTCCAGATCAGGGGTATTAATTGTTATGTTAAAAGTCTGTTCTTTAGTTGATTTGTTGATCGAAAGGGAGATTCTTACAACTGGTCACCTTATTCACTGCAGCTGTCGTGGAGCAGGAAATGAAAAAGGACTGGCTTTTTGCTCCCCATTATCGATACTACGTAAGAGAAATGAGAATTCACGCATACAGCCAGCTGCTGGAATCATACAGGTCCCTGACCCTGGGCTACATGGCAGAAGCCTTTGGTGTTGGTGTGGAATTCATTGATCAGTAAGTGTAAAGAACATCGTGTTTATTTTTTAAAGTTACTTTTTAACGTGTGAACTGGTATATTTTTTCTGTGTGCGTTAGTTCAATTGCTAAACAAACACTAAGAATTTTTCTTTACGTGTTACCAGGTCAGTGTCTGTCTGGTGTTCAGCATGATGTCCCAGTCACACATATACATCCATAGACTCGTTTTCGTAGTTTCATTTCATATTTATTATCTGCGCTCTCGGGCTGCGTGTCTACTTAGCTACTGTGTAGCCGAGATGGAACGGAAGACTACTTTCAATAACAAATGGTGCAAAGCCGTCTTGGTCCGTCTGTGTGATCCGCGCTGTTGGCACAGCGATGACTTAGCTCTCCTGCATGTATTTCACACGAGGTCATAGTTCCTCCGATAATGCCTCCAGTTTTTTGGTTGTTGCCACAATTCTCGGCAAATCGGTTGTTAAAGATGGGGCTCTCGGCCCTTCCATCAGTGAGGCGTCAAGCAGGGACTAAGCCGTCACGGTATGGCTGGCGTGGCTTCAGGTCTTTGTTTTCAGTTTTATTCCAGTTACGGGGAGAGTTGGCAAGTAAGCAAATAAACAAGCATGTGAGTCATTTCAGAGAGAAGTGAGTCCACAGAGATGACAAAATTGAACAGAAGAGTGCGTGGCAGCAGCGTAGTGGCAGTGGGGGTGTGGGGCGGTGGGGCAGAGTCAGGCGGGCGTGCAGGTGCAGGGCCCGGCGGGCCGTGCTGTGGAGCTCGGGTTTTAATCCAGATGCTGTGGGAAAGAGAGACTGGGGGATACGAAGCCTGGGGGTCCGACGGCTCCATGCTGGGTCTTACACAGACCACGTGGGAGACCAGTTGGGCTGTTCAGTAGCTCCCGGAGGAGACGTGATGGTGTCTTGGACTGGGGGAGCGCGTGTGGAGTTGGAGAGCAGTGGCCGTTCAGAACAGGAGCTGTCCAGATGGCTTCTAGGTAAGCGGGTCCCAGTCACTGCTCTTTTCAACTCTGAAGATGTTTTCTGTAGCTCAGAATGAAAAAAGTGGTGGTTAGATAGTAGGTTTTTTGGGGGGGAGGGCATTAAGCTATATTTATGTACTTTTTAATGGAGATATGGGGGGAGTTTACACTCTACCACTGATCTACAGGCTCCTCCCAGTTTCTTTTTAAAATTGCAGTACAGTTACAACGTATCAATTTCTCGTGTGCAGCACAGTGTCCCAGTCATGCACATACATATGTTCATGTTCATATTCATTTTCATTAAAGAAAGATGGTTACAAGATACTGAGTATAGTGCACTGTGCTATGCAGAAGAAACTTGGTTTTTTAAATCTATTTTTACATACAGTAGCTAACATTTGTAAATCTCAAACTCCCAAAGTTACCCCTTCCCACCCTCTTTCCCCCATAACCATACGAGTGTTTGTTTATTATGTCTGCAAGTCTCTTTCTTACGTGGAATCTAAAAAGAAGAAAGCAGACACTATCGGGGCGTCAGATGGTATTTGTCTTTCTGGCTTAGCTCATTTAGACTCGCAGTCTCCAGGTCCGTCCACGTTGCTGCAAGTGGCGTTATTTTACTCTTTTTCCCGGCTGAGTAGTGGTCTGTTGTGTAAATAAATACACCACAGCTGCTTTATCCAGTCATTCGTTGATGGACATTTAGGTAGCTTCCTTGTCTTGGCTATTGTACATAGTGCTGCTGTGAGCATTGGGGTGCATGTGTCTTTTCAAGTTAGAGTTCCCTCTGGATATATGCCCAGGAGTGGGGTTGCTGGATCATACGGTTTAAGTGTGGTTTTACCTTTTTGAGGAATGTCCATACTGGTTTTCAAAACGGCTGCACCGAAGTACATTCCCACCCGCAGGGTAGGAGGGTTCCCTTTTCTCCACACCCTGTCCAGCATGCATTGTTCGTGGACTGTTGGATGGTGGCCATTCTGGTGATAGTGGGCCTGGGAAGCAGCAGCTGAACTGCTAAGCTGGGTGTCAGCAGTTGAACAGGAAGTCAGTCGTGGCCTCACCAGAGGGCATTCCCGAGTCAGACTTTGCTTGTAAGTCCAGTCCAGGGCTGTTCTGTACATCTTGTTCCTAAATCGTAACGTCAAGATTCTTCTTTAGAGGTTCCGTGTCTGGATCTTTCATTTGGGTAGAAGTGTTAAGGCTGGTTCAGTCTGCTTGTGTAATCTTCTGTGTGTACTTCTGTCCTAGAATAATAAGTGCAAATGCGTTTATCAGCTGCAGTCTGGAAATGCACTATTTAAGTACCTGGAAGATTCACAGGAGTGAGTCTGAAAGCAGTGATCTTTTTTTAATTTTTCTATTTTAGCTAAAGGCAGGCAGTAACATAACTTAAAGTTAACAGCTGAAAGAATGGACATGGCAGCAATTCAGACTTTTTTTTTAAATGAGACTATAGAACTACAGCACGCTTTATAAACCATGACTGTCCTTGTTTGCTAGTTTAGGATAACGTCTAGTTTAAAATCTTGAGTAGTCTAACTTTTTCATCTTTCATGCTCATTTCTAGATTTTTCAAAAGTGTACGTTTCTTTATTAAATTAGTGGGTCTTTTACCATTGCGTGACCTGTGGCAACTAGATACTGCAAACAGCTTTCATCTGCATTTTTATGTTTTTTTTTCTTACCTGGTTTCTGAGATGTGTATGCCGACTCTCATTGACCTGAAGAGAGATAAAGCTCCGACTAGGGAATGCTAGGTAGCTAGAGTCAGGCTGTAGCTCAGGGGTAGAGTGTAGGCCTAGCATGCAGGAGGTTGTAGGTTCAGAGGCAGGAC